ATAATATAGGGCGATAACACTCGGGATTTGTGAAGGAATTTGGCTACAAAGACTCCTAACTGCACTAGAGATGTGCGACAATAACTACTTTGAACTCCATAGTGATAACAAATCTACGATAAGCATTGCAAAGAATATGATGCACCACGATAGAATAAAACATGTAGAGATCAACAAACACTTTATTGAAGAAAAATAAATAGTGGAACTGTGAAATTTAACTATGTCTCCTCACAAAACCAGCTATCTGATGTATTGACCAAGACACTTCCGAGAAATACCTTTGACGAAACTATATCCAAGATGGTCTTTACAATTTTACTCCCCAGTCTGAGGGGGGAGTGTGAGTAGTTTTTTAGTCAAACTCTGTTTCCTAACTTATCTCTAACATTATCTCCTAATTTGTAAAAAATATGACTCCTATCTTATATAGGTCTCTAATTCACGTGTAGAAAACCCTATTATCTTCTTATATAAAATTTATTTTTTCTTTGAATAAAAATTATTGTCTTTATCAGAAAACCCTATTTTACATATTTATCTTTCATCCTCATGGTCATAACACTAAAATCAATATCAACACTTGATTGACATCTCGTAATAGGATATCAATTTCAGTAAGCTTATAAAAAATTATTGGATGTAAGATAAGATGTTCCTTAAACTCACAAAATAACTTCAAAAAGTATTCCAAAGAACCCCTCAATTTTCTAACACTACTTCAATCTTCTATAATTGACCAGCTCTCTTCTAACTCAAGTTCAGCCCTAAACTTTGCATCTTGTTCCTCAAATCTTTTTCAAAATTCTAATTAGTGTCTAACACTAAGTATGTTGAGTTCCACCTAGTACAAACATCAAGACACAACATTTTTTTTATCAATCTTTTCACCTCAAAATAGTCCATAAATCTTTTAAATCTTGTTGGAGATTGACTCACATATCTCACAGCCTCCCTAACACGTACAACAAATTTATTCATTCTTTTAAACCTTCAACAATAATTAAATTCATAATATGTGTCATGCATCTCATATGAAGATATTTACCATTTGCAATACAACCCCTTCGATGACTAAATGTTTTTCTTAAGGAACTAATAACAACCTCGTTGGAACTTGCATTATCAACCGTAACATGAATAATTTATCAATCCCCCAACTCAACAAGCAATTCTCAATTATCATACTAATAACCTCCCCTTTATGACTAGAAATTGGACAAAAATTATAATTTTTTATTCAATATCCAATCATTGTCAATGTAGTGGATAGTAAGACACATATAACCGATTCTTTGCAAGGAAATCCATATATCATTAGTCAAACAAACTCTAGGATAAGAGCTTTTCAAATATTGTTTTAGCTTAACCCTTTCATCCAAGTACATTTGATAAACATCCCTAGTTATAGTAAGTCTAGAATGAATTTGAAACCTATGGCATGCCACAGACAAAAAAAAATTCTAAAACATTACTCTCAACAAACTTGAAAGGCTATTCACCAATCACAATCATTTAGGCTAAAGAATTCCTAATTATTTCTTGATCAAATTTTCAAGTTGTAGTTTGTCTCATTTCCCCTCCAAGACCCTTACCAGGTAAAATTATTTAACCTTGATTATTATCAATAATATTAATATGGTTTTTCTTATATTGTTTCATGTGATACTTCGATGATCCAGTTTCATTATTATTCCCATCACAACAAAAAAATCGTAATAATTGTATCTACCTTTACTTTGACCCTCGTTGCTAACAAATTTAGTAAAATGAGACCATACTTTTGACTTTGGAGTGATGGATCTTCGTTTAGCAGCAATCCCTTAATTCGGCTTGAAGCTCTAGCAATATCATTTGAATTTTCAAAATATGTTAATGTGGGTGATACACTGCCCTCAATAGATGCTTCTATATTGGACATATACCACAAAATAAAAACAAAGAACAAATAATTAATGCATATAACCAATAAATTAAATGAGTTTATCTACAGATAAAACACTAATTAGTATTTAGATAAAACACTAAAAACTACTGGCTATACATGCAATGTGAGTCTCTATGGACACTTCCAAAATGCGGTTCTAGCATGATTTTTCCTCTCCACAAGTATCTAAATATATATACATATTGATAGAGAAACAATCTAAAATATACATGTGTATTTATTGAATGAAAGATCAAATCAAATCTGGATATATTGATAAAGAAACAATCTAGATATATATATATATGAAAACAAGCACTTCACTTCACCAAAATGATAGCTACATAGAATCATCAAACTTACAATATATATATATATATATCGATGAAAAGTGAAAGAAGAACCACTTTTTGTCTAGAAATACACAAGAATTTGACATTGTCAGAAACATAAATTGAGAACCCAAAGCCAAAGTAGAGAAAACATGATATTGTGGTACAGTAATACATGAAAAAACAGAAAATAAAAACTCTTTGTTTTGAACTACCTTAATAGATCTCACTGATTTTCAAACCTGTTATGACACTTTGAACAAATTGAAGCAGTTCCTCTCGCTTCACCTACAATTTACCATGTTTGACAAGATTTTTTTTTGGGGATAAGTAAAAATTAAATGTAGCATAGGTTTGACAAGCTAGCACTTACTAACACTTTATCTTGGTAGCTCGAAAAGGCACAAGCTAGAAAATTCAACACTGTAGGCCTAGGATTGAGAAGTGAAAACTGAAAAGAATTCGAAGAATTTGACTTTAGAGAGTAACAATTGTTTAGGGTTCCTTCTTTTTAACTAATTTTAATGTTTTATTTATCTTTTAGGGGTTTATGTTAATTGAGTCTTTCTCTTGAGTTAAACAAATTGGATTCTTAATGGGTATGGGTTGGAGCAGATTAGGCAAAACTATATAAATGATAATACAATATTTAATAATTTCGATTAATTAACTGATTTCAAACCGAAGTTTAAAAAAATCATTATCCACTAACCGATCAAACAAAAAATTAACTGAAAAAAATTTAGTTTGGTCGATTTATTCGGTTTTAACCGAAATTTGAACACCCCTAATCTCGATAAGATAAATAATAGCATAATTTATTTTCTTAGCATCATTCATGATACCCACGACTTAAAAGTATTGTTCCATGCTCAATATGAAGTTTTCTACTTTGGAGGTCGATCTAGTTCCTTTCAAGTACTTTGATCTTGGGGCATCCACCTTTGATTTGGGTGCCACAATGATCACCATATAGCTTAATGCAACCTTACATAGAAACGAACTCTCATTTGAGCTTTTGCATCTCTTTCTTAAAAGACATTACCTCATCTTTAAGCACTTAATTCTTCTGGCCTAGTTGGTTGATTGCTTTATTGGGTGTGCCTTACAACCTTATCTTGACCTAATCTCTCTTAGAGCCCAGCTCGTCAAGGCGTTTATCATGCTCGTCAAGTGTCTCATGATGAAAAAAGATCTATCGAATTTACTCTTATGTTTCCCAACACATGTCTCAACCCCGACCTGTCCACCAACATCACTCCCTTGAGTGATCTATATCGTTCTTACTCGCAAACCTTGCTATGATACCAACTAGTATAAGGCTAGACTCAAATCTAATAAATCTCACGGCCTTAAGTGCTAGACAATGAATTGTGTGCCTAAGTCAGCCTCCTACCTGGATGATATAGGTCTTAAAAATGTACTTGGAAAGAAAAAATTATCACATATTGAATTAGCAAAATAAAATAAGAAAAAAACTTATAGAAAACACAATAAGAGAGATATTTGAGCTCGAATTCTCGTGTTAATCTTTATTATCTCATAAAAATTCATGATGACAATTGAGCTTGAGAGAGTCTCTATTTATAATAAAATCCCCTTATATTTGATCTTGTTCTAATCGGACTTGAACTCAATTCACTAGGATTAAAAAGCCTTTTCACAAGGCAAAGTCCTAATGCAACTAGAAGTTTACCTTGAATTCTTGAATTCTAATTCCAATAGATTTTTATTTACTTGATGATCTAGAACTCTTGGATGTAGGGATCGTGGACTAAGTTCGTGGCCTTACTTCGCGGTCACTAAGGTGTGCATTAATCCCAATCTCTTCGGCACGGCCCGTGACATAAGCCTATCATCTTAGCTTACATCTTATAAGTCAAATTATGTACAATGACTTATAAACAAAATAATTATAGTTTATCTATTAAATCTGTGATTTGGTTCATTTGAAGTATTTTAACTTTTAACTAAATTATAATGAAAGTTTAAAACGATACAAATTATCTTCTTTTTATGCCACCAATTTGATATCAAGCTTTTAATCGATTTGAATTTTAAGAAAGTAAGCTTAAACAGTAGAAGTGAAGGCAATTTTGAGCAGAAACAAATGGATTTGATAAATTACAAGTTTCACTTTCATTTGTTTTGATTGGAAATATGATTAAACATTAATATGAACTTGTGCACCCAAAATACATACAATCAAATACATGGATTGTAGATGGTTGGTTGTGATCATTTCTGAGAAATCCATTATCTGTACACAATTATTATGAATGGTAAACAATAAGATAAGCAATGATCTGAGATATTTTCATGCAGAAAAAAAAGGAAGAAATTACTTCATTGACTTTTTACTACCTCAAACATTGAACAGAATTTCAATCGTTTTCATTGTTGGAATGAATGAGTGGGCCACAAAGCAAGTAGTCAACAAATTGTATGGGAAAAAAGAGAGAAAAAGAATCTCCTCTATCGTAGCCAACTCAATGGTGTAGAAAAAAAGAGGAGAGGTCAGTGATAAGGTCATCGAATCAAACCAATGCTCATTAACAAGCTGTCCAAGTTATGACGTTTTATATATATTTTATAATCTATTGCCTACCCACTTCATTAATCATTTCAATTCAACCATTCCTATTGTTTGAGAAATCATTCCAGAGAATGCAGATTATATGCAGAAACAGCCTTTTCTTGTCCCCATAATTTGAGGGTCTGCGCTTATTAATATATGTACATGTGAAGAAGGCTACAAAGATCTACACAGGTTTCATGGTGTCTGGTTTATTAAGAATAGTTTTAAGTATGTTTTAAAAGAAGCAGACAAAGAACCACTGGGCAACTTGTTTCAAACTATGTAATAAGTCTGTAATCCGTGATCTGTCTACCAAAAGCTTTAAATAAATAGAAAACAAGAAAGACCAACCAAGGCGAGGTGATTTTTATATATATAGATATATGATTTATAGATACATGTAACCCTGTTTTTTTATTTTTTTTGTCTAATGATTTCAAAATATATCCTTTGTTCTTTAGTGTCCAGTCTTCAATGAGCATGGAAGAGGTGAAGGATACAGAAAGGAAGGAGAGGGAAGAAGCGCGTGAAGAAACTGAGGGTTCAACTTCAACTTCATCAAGGACAATACAACCATGGACAAAGCAGATCACAGTGAGGGGAGTGATTGTAAGCATTCTGATTGGGACAGTTTACAGTGTGATAGCCATGAAACTGAACCTCACAACTGGTTTGGTCCCCAATCTGAATGTCTCTGCTGCTCTTCTCGCCTTCATTTTTATACGGACATGGACCAAGGCTGTTGAGAAGGCAGGGTTTATGGCCAAACCTTTCACAAGACAAGAGAATACCATGATTCAAACATGTGCAGTTGCATGTTACAGCATAGCTATTGGAGGTAAGAGGTCTATTAGTTAAATATAATCTATATATATGTGTGTGTTGATGAAGTGGATTGCAGGTGGATTTGCATCTTATCTGTTGGGATTAAACAGGAAGACATATGAATTGTCTGGTGTAGACACTGAAGGGAACTCTGCAAACGCAGTAAAAGAGCCAGGATTTGGGTGGATGATTGCCTCCTTTTTGTAGTTTGCTTTGTTGGTCTTTTTGTCTTAATTCCTCTTAGAAAGGTAATCCTTCTATTTCTTAGTAAATATTCACTTAAATATTATATTCTCTTTATGGTATACCTATAAAAATATTTGAAGAATACCAAATTTAATAAAAATATACACCTGTCGCATTAAATTTATCCATTTTGAGTTTTAAAATTACTTCATTCATAATATCATATGTGAAAAATCAACAAATAACGACACTTATAGTTTAGTTTTTACCTTTGTTCTTTTACTCTTATCAAAACAAATATGTCAAATCTATCAATCATTTTTTTTAGAATAATTTGTTGTTTTTCTTATTTTATATATGAGTAAATTTATCTCCTAAAACATTATTTGGTATTCAAACTCAAGGCCATAACATAGTTATTTATAGTTTTGAAGACTGCTGTCCAAGGAAAAACCACAAGACATGCTTTTCTCTGACGATTGAATCAGTGTACGATGGTTAAAAAAAGCTTCTTCTTTATAGGTCATGATAGTGGATCTCAAATTGACTTATCCAAGTGGCATGGCAACTGCAGTTCTCATCAATGGCTTCCATAGCCAAGGCGATAAGTCAGCAAAGTATGTATTTTTATAGAACATAATCAAACCAGAAGAAGAAGAAGAAGATATGACATAAATAACATCAAATTAATCATAAATTCGTAATTGCAGGAAACAGGTGCACGGATTCCTCAAGTATTTTTCAGCCAGCTTCCTATGGGGTTTTTTCCAATGGTTTTTCTCTGGGAAAGAAGATTGTGGTTTCAAACAGTTCCCTACATTCGGACTTAAAGCCTGGAACCAAACGTAAGTCCTTCATTTCAGTCATTATTGCTTTCATCCTCAAGTATTTGACTGAGCATATACGTGTCGTGTGTTTTGTTTTTTGTCAGGTTCTTCTTTGATTTTAGTCTGACGTATGTCGGGGCAGGAATGATCTGCTCTCACCTCGTCAACTTGTCTTTACTATTTGGAGCCGTGCTTTCATACGGAATAATGTGGCCACTTATAAATCACCTTAAAGGACAATGGTTTTCTGAGGATTTACAGGAATACAGCATGAAGAGTTTGTACGGCTACAAGGTCTCTTATAGTAAAAATTCCATTATCCTTTGCAAATCTTGTTTATTGTAACCTTATCTAACATCATGGTTATCAGGTTTTTGTGTCTGTTGCTCTTATTCTTGGTGATGGCATTTACAATTTCCTCAAGATATTCTGTTTCACGCTTGCTAATATCCATGGTAGATTGAATGGCAAAGCTCGAAATACAGGTAATGGAGCGGCTTTTCTCGTCTTTGGTTTTCAGGGTCATTTTAATGAATGTTGTTACTTGCAGTTGATGAGGATGATAGGAAGACGACAGCCGCCGACCGGAAACAAAACGATATTTTTATCAGGGAATCCATCCCCATGTGGATAGGGATAGTGGGATATGTAGTATTGTCTATCGTGTCTGTAATTGTGATCCCCATCATGTTCCCTCAGCTGAAATGGTACTATGTGATTGTAGCTTACATTCTTGCCCCGTCTCTGGCATTCTGCAATGCATACGGGGCGGGTCTTACCGACATTAACATGGCCTACAACTATGGGAAAGTAGCCCTTTTCGTGTTGGCAGCATTGACCGGCAAGGAAAACGGTGTGGTGGCGGGGCTTGCCGGATGTGGTCTCATCAAATCTGTTGTCTCGGTCGCTTGCATCTTAATGCAGGATTTCAAGACGGCGCATTACACTCTCACGTCTCCGAGAGCAATGTTTTTGAGCCAGGCAATCGGGACGGCTATCGGTTGCATCACAGCGCCTCTTAGCTTCTTCCTTTTCTACAAAGCGTTCGATGTCGGAAACCCGAATGGAGAGTTCAAAGCCCCTTATGCATTGATATATAGGAACATGGCGATTCTAGGTGTGCAAGGATTTTCGGCTCTGCCTCGGCATTGCTTGCAACTCTGTTACGGATTCTTTGCTTTCGCAGTGGCGGTGAACTTGGTGAGAGATTTCTCGCCGCGTAAAATCGGGAAATGGATGCCGCTTCCGATGGCGATGGCGGTGCCGTTTCTAGTCGGGGCGTATTTCGCAATCGATATGTGCTTGGGGACATTGCTTGTGTTTGCTTGGCAGAAGATGAATGCGAAGAAGGCTGAGTTGATGGTTCCAGCCGTTGCTTCTGGACTCATATGTGGGGAAGGGCTATGGATTCTGCCAGCTTCAATTCTTGCATTGGCCAAAATTAATCCTCCCATTTGCATGAAATTCATCCCTTCTTAGCGAAACGTTCCAAGGAAGAAGAAAGAAGAATAAAAAGATTGCAAGGTATGTCTTCATACAGTAGTAGATGACTATATATATATATATTTACTTTTCCTTTGACGAAATAAACTCTCATCTTATTGAATGCGAAATAGTAATCGCGGATCTTAGAAGTGTTCAAAATCGGATACCGTATTTTTTGTACCTAAAATATTGAGTATTTGAAATTCTTATCAAAATATCGAATCCATCTCGATTCGTTAAGTTCAAGTACCCACAAGTCGAATAGTCGTAAAATTTGAATACCCATATTTTCAAGTCACGAGAACTTGATTTATTTATTTATTTATTTTTCTTTAATTTTTTTTTAAATTATATAAAAGTTTAAATTTTAAAGGTTTATGATACATAATCTATACGTAAAATTTAAAAATTTAAATTACACAATTAAAAGATAGAACTTATTAAAAAAATAAAATTAAAGAAATATAATTAAATTTAAAATATTTTGAAGATAAAAGAAATAATTTAGATTGATAGAGTGAAATAATTTAATAAATTAATATTTTAGAATTTTATGATGAAATAGTATAAGAAATTAAAATTTAGAATATTATGGTGAAATAAATTGGAAATTAAAAATAAAAATCTAATATAAAATAAAAGATATATAAGAAACTGAGTAGTGTATCAACCGGTACATAGTTAACTGATATTTTGTGACTTTGGTTCAATCCGAAAACTCGATAAAAATAGTATAATCCACAAAATCAGGTATTTTCATTATAAAATACTTGATATTTTTTAACTGAATCGGGATCAGCGAGTCAATAATTCGGGTTAGGTAGTTCTAAACACCCTAATCACGATTTTCATTTCATCTATACAAATACTTTCGGTAAACTATGTATTTAGTCATCCAACTATTATTTTGGTTCCGTTTTGGTAACTCAATTATTATTATTTTTAAATCATTCCTAAAGTTACATTTTGGTTTCATTTTGGCCACTCGTAAAAAAGTAACAATAATATTGATGTGTCACCATAAGATAATATCACATCATCATTAACAATAAAAAAAATTATTATGCAAACAATTATGTTTATTTTTCAATGACGGATGAGCAAAAAAACTAAAATATAATACTAAGTATAATTTTTAAAAAAAATTATGATTATGTATCATTTGATCAAAAATGTATTATATATCGTTTGATCACAAATTAGTCAAAGTTATACTTACTATTTGATCAAATGAAAATTTTATACTAATTTGTAACAACGTAAAGAAAAATTAGTATAAATTTGAAGTTAAAATTACAAAGATTGTCAAAGTTCTAATAAAAGAAAAAATCTTCACAAATAAGAAAAATATTAAATTCTTTTAAGTGATTAAAAATTATTGTGAAATTAATTTAATATTAATTCGTGTAACAAAAAAATAATACTTGAATGAAACATAACATTAATGATTTTTTATTAAAGCATAATATTAATAAACTACATCAGTACTCACATGAATCAAGTTATTTAAGTAAGTAAATGAATGATTATTATTTCTAGAGGTCTTAAGTAAATTATGTATTTAGTCACACAACAAATACTTTGGTTTCATTTTTGTTATTCAACTATTAATTTTTTAAAATCATACATAAAGTTACATTTTGGTTCTATTTTAAACACTCATCGTTAAAAAAAATAACAGTGATACTAATGTGTCAACATAAGATAATGTGATGTCATAATTAAAAATTTGTAAAAGTTCCAAGGGTGGAATATTGTGGGGGCCAAGGAGAGCCTTGGCTCCCGTCAATTATTTTTGTAATTATTAATTAAAATTGAAAAATATATATGTTAAAAAATAAAAAATTTACCAGGCCCTTCAATTACAAAAAATACTTTAACCCCGCTATAATAAATTCCTAGTTACACCCCTAAAAAGTTCTCACATGAATTAAGTTACTTTAGTAATTAAAGGGGTGATTATTATTTCTATAGGTCTTAGGTAAACTAAATCAGGAGTAATTTCATGAGTTATGTTATCTCAGTGGTTAAAGAGATTATTTTTATCTCTAGAGGTCTTAGGTTCGAGTATTATAGATTACAAGGGTGTTTGAGTTTTCATCGTTAAATAGTTGAAAATATTTTATCAGACCAAATACTACCTATTATAATCACCCTAAATTAATAAAAAAAATATTATATTAATAGTCATAAAATTATTATTATTTCTTCAATCACTTAACTAATTTTTTTTAGTAAAAACATCACTAATATTAATTTTTTTCCTAATTTTCTTATCAGTTGTTAAAAATTTAACCATTATATTAACATAATATTTTTACTCTTCCAATTTTTACGTTATTTTCATTCTCCTCAGAATCATTTTATGTATATTTTTTAAATAATTTTATTTGACCAATAAGATGGTGTCATATGACACTATTTTATTGGTCCAATAAAACTGAAGGAAAAAAAAGTAACATTAATGATTTGGATTAAAACATAAAACCTATAATATGAGTAAACTAACCAATAGTCATTAAACTATTATCATTTTTCTATTTTGGTCACCAAACTAGTTTAGATAAAAGCATCATTAACGTTATTCTTTTTTATTTTGGTCATTGACTATTAAAAATTTAACAACGATACTAGCGTTATATTTTTATATTTTATATTTTATATTTCATTTTGTTTTCTCTCACCTCATCAACAACTTATGTGTCATTTTTTATGTGTTGTTACTGCTGCCACCATCGCTCATGCATGTTGTCGAGGATGGAGTTTTCCTTTCGCCTGCTCGTTATTGCTACCTATTTGTTCACAAACCTTTTTCCCTTAGATGCCACCTAATCTACAAAAAAAAAAACTATTTTTCCCTTTTCAATATGTTCCCAATAAATAAATAAATACATACATACATAAACACATATATATTATATAAAATATAAAATATCAACTTTTATGTTTAATATAACAATTTTGTTTAGCTTAAAATAGTTAAACTAATATATGATACTTAAAGTATAAAGTTTTTTTTTCTTTTTAGAAATTGATAATTGTTGTAAAATAAGCGGAATAGAGCAATAAGAAGAAGAAGAAGAGATACGAGAATAAGGAGATAAATATGTATTGTTATCTCAATTTAAATTGTGTAGATACTAATCGTTGTTACAGACCTAAATATACATAAAAAAACTTATCTTATAGATAAAGATAGACATCCACATAAATAAATATTCATAACACTCTCCCTTGGATGCCTATGAAGATAATGAGTCTCATTAAAACCTTAATAAGATTAAATCATGTGAGGAAAAAAAATTTAATGAATGAAAAAAGTAAACGTAACTTTAGTGCGCATAACTTGTTGCCTCATTAAAATCTTACAAAGAAAATCCAGTGGGACAAAATATTGGTTAAGGGGAACAGAGTACAAAACATATTTACTCTCCATCATAACAATATCACAAAAGATCTTACAGTTTTACAATTCAATATTAAATACAATATTCAAATGTTCAAGTAAACAAGAAACCTATGAATAGATCTCTCAAATTACCACTTGAACGGATTCGTTAAATATTACTATTACTATTCTTTTGAAGATCATGAGGGAGGAAACTTTAGGAAAATATATTTCCTTTGATGTATCTTTTTTCAGTTGAGCTATAAAATTTTACATTATCTTTGTACAAGATAGTTGACATCTTATCAAGTGGAATCAAATCACATATCTTCTAGATATTTTGGGTCAATAATTTTATCTAAATACTTTCTTGACTTACCTCATGTATAGTAATTTTTTGTACATTATTTGTATGGGCGTCAAATAATGTTTGAAAATCTAAAGAAATGAACTTTTGCACTTAAATAGTGCTTTTGGTCTAGCTAAGATGTGGTGCTTTTAGACCAGCTAAGATATAGTGGATCTAAACCAACTAAGATTTAGTAATTCAAGACCAATGATTTCTTTTCTCTTCTTTGAAGAAAAATATCTTTATAGTTAATTGTATCTCACGTCTTTCAATTGTGACTTATTCTAAATTATTCCTTAAACATTTAAACATTCCAATTTCATCATCATTCATCCAAATATATAATCAATTTCAACAGTTTAAACACTCCTTAAACGTTTAAATAGTTTAAGGACTAATTTAAAATGAGAGTCATAGTTTTGAGATGAAGTTAGAATGTTTAAAAGTTTAAGGAATAATTTGAAATAAAGGTCAAAGTCTGAGGACATTGTGGAAATGTTCCCCTTAATTGGGAATTTTAAGGGTCGTCTCGACTAAATTGGGATTTTTTATTTTTTAAAAGGATCAAATAAAATATTAATTCGAGGAGTCGCTACCAATATTTGTTTAGGGTGCGATTGGATTACCCATAAAAGTTTTGTCATTTTTATAAAATTTAATTTTAAAAATAATCAAAACAACATTTTCAGGTATATGTGTCAAAAAATTTAGTTCGAGAGTCGATTATGTGTGAGGAAGGATTAACACCACCACGACTGATGAGTGTTCAAAATCGTTAATCTTTGCTCGTTATTTCTTCGATTTTGTGGAGTTATTGCTGTTGAATTGGTCGTGTTATACTTATTTTTGTACAGGTTATTGCTTTCCAAATTTTGTGACAAAACGGGCAAATTCTGAATTTTTTTTTATTATTTGGTCACGGCTGGAGACATGGGCACGACGCGGTCTGAAGTGGCAGTTTCTAGAAGGTCTAGTAAGCGGCGGTTTGTGGAAGACTTCATCCGCACGCCTTCTGGAAGATTGACGAATAGAGTTGTATTAGGAGACTGATTTAAGTTTGAATTTAAATTTAAAAACAATTATCTTTTATATTATTTTATTATTTTCTTTGCTTATCCTTTAGGCTTTGAGAGGTTATAAATACCCACTTGGGGTAAGCCTAAACTCATCACTCAAATTACATTCTTCTTTCATCTCTAGTTTTATTAAAGTTTTCTCTTTTTACTTTTCAAGTTTTTCCTTTTTCTTTTATTTTCAAGCTTTATTTTTAATATGCTAAGT